ACCCGAGTAAAAGTTTGTCTAACGAATCTCTCGATAAAGTGAACATTTTTTTCCCGGTCCCTTGAAAAATACTCGATAAGTTGAATAAAATCAATATTAATTGGTTCCCTCGGTAATTGGAAGTTAAAGGAATAGTATCTTGCCTTGGAATTGTATCATTATTCTTGTATGGATGTACCCGGCTTCGCCCGGGTTTTACCCGAGTAAAGGTTTGTTTAACGAATCTCTCGATAAAGTGAACATTTTTTCCCGGTCCCTTGAAAAATACTCGATAAGTTGAATAAAATCAATATTAATTGGTTCCCTCGGTAATTGGAAGTTAAAGGAATAGTATCTTGCCTTGGAATTGTATCATTATTCTTGTCTCAAATAAATTGCCGTGTCATCCTGAATTTTGTCTTTCCTAATTTTCTACATTACAAAATCATCGTATCATCATGATAATATTTAGAGCAGATTGTTGAATTATAACAGATAAATTAGAATATTTATCTTGATTATTTCTAGGCGAAAAGTTATTTCAAAATTTTTATTTGCTAGAAACCTTCCCAGTACTATACTAAATAACTTCCCAAAGTTTCATAGCGATCCAATGAGTGGTTTGGTCAGGCATAAAGGACAAACAAACAGACATACATTCATTTTTATATATATAGATAATATAGCCGAATGACCCGGGCAACCCCCGGGTTTTACCCAATTAAATGTTTTTATTCAAATACTATTCGTTACAATTATAAATTGGCGCCGTGGATGTCACTCTTGTGAAACGTCCCGCTCCAAACTTTGTGTCTGAGAAGCGATATTTTTATAGAAAGATGATCTGGCTTTTGTTTTCTGCTCGAATGAATGTTTTTCTGTTAGAATTTTGTTCCTGCGTACAAAATAATGAGCTGGTTTCACCCGTGGTCTCTGCTTTTTGGAATTTTTCCCGATATAATTTTGTATCTGATAATCTTACATGATACAGCAATATCGTCGTCATCATTTTCTGACTAATAATATATAGTTTTAATAATTGATTTATATATTTTTTAAAATAGCCTATCGTCTTCCCCGTATTTTTTTACCTATGTATGGAAATTTTGGTTTGAATTAGTGAACTACTGCGAATTTGTATACCGGACATACAAACCAACAAACAAACAAACAAACATACAAACATTCATTTTTATATATATAGAAGATATAATATAAATGAGTTTTAAAAATTGTTTAAAAAAATGCATCGGCCGGGAATCGAACCCTGGCCGCCCGCGTGGCAGGCGAGCATTCTACCACTGAACCACCGATGCTTTAAAAAAATGGCCATATTTAGGTATTCATTCCATTCCGGATTAGTCCGCGTAAAAAAAAGTTCTTCAAATGAAAAAAAGAAATAGCCAAAAATACTAATCAAAATGCAGCCGAAAATTTTCCTCAGGTTTATAAAAAGTGACATGCAAAATTTGGTACCAATTGGTTCAGTAGTTTTTGAGTTTATCGCGAACAGACAGACAGAAATTGACTTTTATATATATAATAAGAGATAATAGCTAACTACATTTATACATAGGGCACTATGAAAGTTTCGCAATTATACTTCATAAAATAAAATTGCTATGAAATATTAAATAATAATATAAACAGTAGCAAAATATTCAAGGTTAGGATCAGACATCATATCGCCACGCTGTAATATTCAAAGAAAAACAGGGTAACGTGGTAAGATTCTTTTAAAAGAATCTTACCACGTTACCCTGTTTTTCTTTGAGCAAAATATATTTCTTTATTCGTGTAAAGTGCAAACTTTCGGATCTTTATAATCAATCTACAGGCATAGTAATAATGCAGTTAAACCTGTCTATAGCTCCCCCTCTAAATAGTGCCCTCTATAGCGCCCGATTTTAAATACGTAGTACGATGCGATTTACATTAAAAGTGACCTGTCTATAGCATTTCCTCTCTATAGCACCCTATTTTGGTGAATCCCAAGAGGGGGTGCTATAGACAGGTTTAACTGTACTTTATTATACACCCATACCTCGCTTTGCGTCGGGGTTACGTTCCAAAAAAAAAAAAAAAAAACACGACGCAAATTGAAAATAAAATTTTGATGGCATGGCGCAATCAAAAACAAAGGTGTCGCCATATTTTAGAAAAAAAAAATTGAAGACTCGAATCCAAAACAACGCAACTTCGAAAATCTAACGACGCACAGTGAAAATCAGTAAAAATTAAGCAGCGACGCAACTTCTAAAAAAAACACAAAACGAAACGACGCAAAGCGAGGTATTGGTGTATACAATTTTCAAAAATATTTACAATCACAATCAATACATTTCTCCATACTTCGAAACCAATCATCAAACTACTATTTTTCCTCAGGTATCGTCATCCTATGTTCTTAAAAGGTCTTCATCGCAGAAATGGAGAAAACTCCTTCGTATTTTAGATAAATGTAAAGACGACAAAAAATCTCTAGCCATTAAGAAATAAGTTCATACAAGAAAGCACTCTATCTTTAAACCCTTATTGTTTTCAGTCCAGATTACCTGAAGCGCTTACTTATGTTTTTTAAAACTATCTCGACGAAAAGATTTACCTGACGTTTTTAAAAGATTATAAAACTTTTTTTCATGTTTACTGAAGATTTACTTCAAGCTCTCAATGTTTTAGATGTCTTTTGTTGAGCGTTTTATAGAATAAAAGTTACTAAATGCGTTTATTTGTGGATGTTTGTTTTGATAATGGAAGTTCTTAAAGGGTTTAAGGGAGAAAACGTTAAAGGGGTGTAAAATAATGGGAAGATATCTCAATTTATAAAATAATGTATTTTAAACTGTTGAATACACAATGTGAAATGGAATATGTAATTTTTCTTGACACTCTACTCCATGTAAGAAATTTGAATTATTTTTTGACACGCATGATTCTTTTAAAATCAAATCATTTTTTTACTCACCTTACTGCAATGATAAAATACTATGAGGGCTTGGCTCATCAGTGGTGAACCCTCCCAGCGGTTTCGCCAGTTTAATTTATCATATCGCTGTAATATTGCAATTTTCGGTTTTTCATCTTATAGTGATACTGAAGCTAGACTCTTGGAATGGGTATTTTAGAAGAACTATGGACATAATCTTTGAGGACAGTAGAAATACATATAATTATAAATATATAATATGCTTCGCAGATTTCTCTTTCGCGATTTGCAAGTGAAAGTTTTTAAAACACAATATAAATATGATTCCTTATCTGTTATAACTATTAAAGATTTACAATTGTGTTTCTAATGACAAACCTACAAAAAGCTTTGATATCCCTAGTCTCTTCTGGAGGTTGTCTTTTATTGGAGGTTGTATTAATTCGGATCTTTTTTATTCACATAGTTTATTTCCGAGGAAATAATAATTCATATGGTAACTGAGAATAATTATTGTAAATGCTCTTAGTGTTATTTAAATGAGAAAATTCGATTCTGAGCAAAAATATTTTTTTTTTAGGTATTGTAAGCTTAAGAGCAGATTGTTTGCTCCTCTCAACATTGCATAGATATGCAAAATCCCTATAGTTTTTTAAAATATGTAAATAGTATCATCCCTATATAGTGCCCAATGTGCCATATGTTTTCACTTGTTTCCTGTAGAAGGGCCGGTCAGCCCGAAAGCTTGAGCGATTTACAATAAAATCTTCGTATAAAAGACACTCGTCCCGTGATTCTCGAATTTTTGCTTACTTTATTGAATGGGATTCCAGTACTTATATTTTTTATTATCCCTAGTACACGTGGTACAGGCCATGATAATAAATGGTGGTTTGTTAACGACTACTTTTACTGTAAGTGTATTGCAGGTTTACGTATGTAAAAAAGCAGTTCGATTTTGTACTTACAAATGTAGGTGGAAAATAAAATTAAATGCGAAAATAAAATGATCTTTTTACAAATATAACGACTCAGTTGTTAGTTTATCAATAAAAATATTTGCATACGTCACTTACCATCCTTGTAGATTATCACTTATAGAAGATTACTCGGGATTCAGATAATAACTCTGAAAGATATTATAGTGACCTTTATTGAAGACACACGAGATAACCAATATACACTCATGGACACAACTTAAGGAAGTTGTACCTTTTAGCATGTATATCGGGATTGAGACAATAACTCTGAAAGATATTACAGTGACCTTTATTGAAGACACACGAGATAACCAATATACACTCATGGACAAAACTTAAAGAAGTTGTACCTTTCAGCATGTATATCGGGATTCAGACAATAACTCTGAAAGATATTACAGTGACCTTTATTGAAGACAAACGAGATAACCAATATACACTCATGGACACAACTTAAAGAAGTTGTACATTTTGGAATGTATATTGGGATTGAGACAATAACTCTTAGACACACGAGATAACCAAGTTTGAAAAAATTACCTCTGTTTCCTTAAAAAAAAAAAAAAAAAAAAACAGACGTCCGGCGACACCAAAGACTTTCCACTTCCTTTATTTGTTTTCCATTAGTGTATATATATTAGAAAATGATTCAATGATTATTTTTAGTATGATTCTTCATGGTAGATTAAACTGGCGAAACCGCATAGAGGGTTCACCACTGATGAGCCAGGCCCTCCCATTATTTTATCATTGCAGTAAGGGCAGTAGAAGATTGATTTATCTTTTAATGCAACATAGGCGTCAAAAATAGTTCAGATTTTCCTTAACAGATGTCGCGCTAATCCATCATATTAAGAAGTCATGTTGATATAAACCTGTTTCGTTATACCATATGGGATAAACTATCACAGTAACTATGTTCTCTCTATATTAAAAATGACAGGATTTAATGTTTCTTTTATATACAATACAAACTTCTACTGTCCTTACTGCGATGAAAACATAGATTGGGAGGGCGTTAATATAATTCGAACCCGGGCTTCCTGGTTGAGAGCCAGGTATCCTAGCCACTAGACCAGGTTGGAAAATTGGGATGAGCCAAGCCCTCCAAATTTTCCTACCTGGTCTACTGGCTAGGATACCTGGGTCTCAATCAGGAAACCCGGGTTCGATTCCCGGCGTGGAAAATCTTTTGGGGCTCAAAAATAATCTCTTTTGCCTAGCAGCCCCGCAAATGAAGATATTTACGCCCTCCCGATGAAAACATATATTGGGAGGTCGGAAATATCTTTATTTGTGGGGCTGCTAGCCAAAAGAGATGATTTTTGAGCCCCAAAAGATTTCCTACGCCGGGAATCGAAACCTGGCCTTCTGAGTGAGAGCCAGGTAACCTAACCACTAGACCACGTAAAAAAATTGGAAGAGTTTGGCTCATCAGTGGTGAACCCTCCCAGCGGTTTCGTCAATTTAATATACCAGACTGCTTATTAGATCTCTAATACGGTATTGGATCATTCTGCTTATATACGTAGCACTGAATGGTGAATCTTTGAAATGGTATTTAAGCAATCTATGGACATAAGTTTATAGACAGTAGAATTGCATTCAAATATTCGCATCGAGCAATGCTCTTCCGCAAACAATTAAATACAAGGTCAGTTAGAATAAATTAACACAAAGCAATAACGCGCCATCTATACATATAAAATGAAAGAATTTAAAAGCGCGAATGTTTCTTTTATACATAATAAAACTTCTACTGTCCTTACTGCGATGAAAAAATATGTATTGGCTGGGCTTGGTCATCAGTGGTGAACCCTCCCAGCGGTTTCACCAATATAATCCATCAGACTTCTTCCTAGAGCTTTATTTCTGTATTGGATCATTCTGATTATATATGTTACACTGAAGGTTGGAATCTTTGAAATGGTATTCAAGCAATCTATGGACATAAGCTTATAGGACAGTAGAATTCTCTATACAATCATCTCTTCTCTCCAAAATGAAGAAGATGCGGAGAAAACAAAATAAAGGCGGCACGTCCCGACAGAGACAAATTATTCCAAGTTTTATTAATGACTCCCTCAGTCGGACAAATATTTGCCATGTCCTAAATTCACTCCCATATTAAATATTTCCTTCATAATATCCCTCCATAAGAAAATTAATTAATATTTTATTTAGGACATCATATTTTTCATTAGTATTAAAAACTATTCTAAAAAGTTTTATAAGGTTTTTTTTTTAATAACAAGAATAGAGAAAAATATCCATTAAATTTGTTGATGTCTTAAAATAAAATTCGCATATAATATTCGATAAATGATAATATACCCTCGTGAAACAAATCTCAAGAAGGTGAAAATTCTTTGATATCGCCTTTGAAACCTCTTGGGATAAAGAGGTACAACCTTCAACACGCTGACAAAGCATCACTTATAAACGTGTATGTGATTGGCCTTTTTCTGATACATCAAGAAATGTAGATAAAGAATTCTTCCTGAATTGAAATTAGACGAAAAACATGGTGAAGAAAGAAGAGTTTCTTTTATTGATGCATAGGTGCAAGCTTTCAGGTAAAAACCCTTCAACAGGCAATCGCGACTTAAAAGAACTATGGTACAAATGGTAGGAAGGAATATATATATATAAAAAGAAATGTGTTGGTCAAATATTATGAAATAGTTTCATAGTTTCAATGGTTTTATGAAATTTAAGCGAATTTTTATTAATGTATATCACACATAATGCGGCATAATATCTACATATAACCGGTCTATGTATAACATTTGGGGAAAATTCCATCAGGAATAAGTATCTTGTATGAATATTCTATTAATTCAAGTTTTCGGGACTTGAAATTCTTCTCTACATGGGTATAGGGCATAGACACACATCAGTTATAGTTAGTTAGTAATGTTTCTGTAGAAGGAGTCATGGTTTGTAAAGCTTGAAGTACTAAAATACACCTATCCCCCGATTTACACGGTAGATACGTTTCTGAGAAAAAGGTGTAAATCGAAAAAAAAAAGAATGTCTTATTTTAAATCTTTCAAACCAGCTATGACTTGCCAAAAAAATTGGCTTCTTTTCAGTTGAAGAAGAAGATGTGGCAATTGCTCTACAATTTTTTCGTATAGTATTTCGTTAGTATAGTGCGTTAAAAACAAAAAAAAAAAAATTTGGAAAACCGTGTAAAAGCGAAAACGTGTAAAACAAGTACCGTGTAAATCGGGGGATAGGTGTATTTATAAAATAAACTATTCCCTAGATTCCTGCTTCCAAACTTTACTAGGTGACGCTCGAAAAGAGCAACCTAGTTTATGATATTTATAACAATGAGAAGGAGGGGGAGCAGTAACAACCTCACTAAAAAACCTGGATTCAGCAGGCCCTGCTGATACAGAGGGCGTTCACACTTATAGGAAACAAGTTTTTATTATAAAATATTTGAAATTTACACCATATTTGAAAAATTTCAAATGTTCTATTTGAAAGCCTTTTTCTTTATTTACAGAACGGCACCTGAATTTCCACGATAGCAGACACTTTCTGATCATGGCCATACTCAAAAGATCCCATTCTTCCTTTCACCACTTTCCAGAGACCTTCAATTGTCCTAGGGTGTCTCTTCCAAGTGCTCTTTTAAGGCATACAAAAATGCAAAAATCCATCGGGGCTGAATCAGGTGATTTTACAGGGGTTCTGTTCTTTGGAATAGTGTTGATTCCTGTTCTTTGCCTTAGATCTTCCAAATAAGCTTGGGTTGTAGATGAGGTATGACTTGTGGCGTTATCGTGGTGAAACCAGACTTTGTTGCTCAGTTTTCCATAGATAGAGGGAATATCATTTAAAAATATAGGTTCTAAAATGTTGTTTTGATAGTACTCCGAGTTTATTTTGGCATTTCTTTCAACCGTTCTTATTTTTAATTTTCCTTCATATGATATACCGCATGCCACCATAAATCCTTTGGGATAACTTTCGGCACATTCCTTCAACCAAATTGGCCTAGATTTTTCCACCCTTTTTTGATAGTATATAGCTCTTTTTCTGTCGCAATCGGTTAAATATACCCATGCTTTGTCATATGTAACAATAAATTTCCATCTATCATCAGCCAAGAAATTTTCATAAAAATATCTGCCGATAGTGTGCCGCTGACGAATATGGCTCTGAAACAATTTGTGAACCGCATGTTTTTTTTTGTAGGTTTTAGGCCTAAATCTTTATTAATTTTTTTATTTATTGTTGACACTGATGTTCCTATTAATTTGGCTATATCTCTTTGTGGCATAGGATTTTCTTTTGTAATATATTTTTTCACTTTTTTGACAGTTGCAGGAGTTCTCACAGATATAGGGTGATAATCTTTTGTCCATTTCTCCGTAGGTGCTTTGAATAAAAACTTGATATTTTTGTCGTGAATGATATTATAAATACATTTTTTATAAATGTTGATATCATCTTGTTTGCATATTTTAATTATGTCCAAATAGGTAAGATTAGCTCTGGAAAGTCCAAAAATATAACCTCTTATGAAATTATTGTATTTGAAGGGCATTAAAAAAATTAAATGTATTGCGTGTTAGAATTGGCTTAAAACTTTTCGAATTTCACGTTGTTGATTTAAAAAAAAAAAGTAATAGTTCCTTTTTTACACCGTGCGCTCGTTTCCTATAAGTGTGAACACCCTCTGTAGTACGCTGTAAGGGCTCCTAATACAGGAATACAGGATGAGTCTGTACTCCATGTTAGGAGCAGCTGCACATGGTGTATGTTCCTCATGTCAGAGGCAGCATTTCTTTTGGAGCTAAGTCGGCCTGTCACTGAGTAGTGCTTTCAGGCTTAATGCAAAAGGCATTTTACTTCACCCAGTCATGAATGATCGAATGGAGATAAGAAAGAAGAAGACAACAATGAATAATGAAGGTTATTCAAATATTAAAACAAAGTGTCCAATACGGGATTCGATCCACGTTCATGGTTGTCGGGAATCGAGGGTTTTAACCACACGTCTCACCCTAGATACCTTTTTACCAGAATGATATAATGCAAAATATTATACTATTTCAAATATAATCATATTCAAGAGAGATAAGCATGTCCCATTTACTATATACCGAAATCTTAAACGCGTACAAGGAGACGTGTTAGTGGGGGAGGGGATAACAGTCAATGAAAATCTATATTGAGCCACATTTTATATAGAACAAATTTTGCGTTATTGAGTATATCTTGAATGACGTCATTCTCTTTATTCATAATGTATTTTTCAGGATTAAAAACGTTGTGATGAGCAATAGCGCGGCATTTTAAAATTGCTTCATCCAGAATAGGGCGTATGAAACTGAAGTCAATATAACGATGCGAGATGTCTGGTGGTCAAAGAGATAAGAAGAAAGAGATAAGGAGATAAAATCAACACTGTACAATCCGGGATTAATATTCTACTATAATAAAATACATTTTTATCGAATTGTAAACATATAAAATATAATAAAACCTTGAAGAAAGTATATGGAATTCCGTTTATATTATCAATGTAAGAGATAAGGAGATAAAATCAATGACGAAACACTGTACAATCCGGGATTAATATTCTACTATATTAAATAAATTTATAAGTTGTAAACATATAAAATATAATAAAACCTTGAAGAAATTATATGGAATTCCATTTACATTATCAATGTACCCCGTGTTTATTCAAATTGCCTTCGTTAAGGTAAATATGTAAACCTCGTTATATTTTTCCTGCTAAGTTGCCTCAAATTAAAGAGAAGTTAGTCGCCGGAAGATTATTTCTTAATTGAATAAAAATAAGGCTTATATGTATATAGGGTAAATAATTCTAATAAATATACATGAGAAAATATGAATACGTGGTAGTATTTCTTTGAAAATGAGGTTATACGTGGTGATATATGTTATGATGAATTGTTCCTCTCATTTCTTAGATGTAACTCAACCACTTAACAACAACAAAGCCTTTATTTAGGACCTCTCGCCCTATACAGGATTCGCCAGTTCACAAGGGATGGGGAGAACACTGTGTTCCGGGATATAATCCTGTGGAATCCAATATCGCCACCGCTATATACCTATTCTTCGATATTTCATTAATTAGTGCCGGAAATTAAGGACAAAGTTGCCCCGTTTTATCATTTAGTTTTCGTCTTTCCTCAGACATAGCAGCATAATCAAATAAGTAGTGCAACATCTCCATTGTTATTCCTGTTCCACAAAGAGTACATTTCAGGTCTTCACCCCTCATTAAAATCAGATGGTGTTCTCTGAAATAAATTGAAAGGGTTCTAAATTGCGCGATTAATCTGATGACAGGAAAAGGGAGTTCACTTAAGAAATTTTCTTCGGTGGTAAACGTTGTATATATATCTCTATAGTGAAAA